CCTTCCTTCCGAGGAGTGGCTGATGGGTTTGAACCGCCAGCCCTCTGGTGAGCAGTCAAGTGCCTTAGCCACTATGCTACCAGAGCTCCCTCATACAGTAAATCCTTATATGAAATCAGTAAAATATTTAGGGGCTTAATTTCACTTTGAAATTAAAAGAGAGGCAATTTGAGATTTTTCTATCTTCACTGATCCTCTCTGGAATGTGAAAGTATACATTGCAGTTTCCACCTTGTAGTACTTGAGGTTTTGTTCCCCCCTCCCAAGTGCTTGAGTTTTTCAAGCAATTTACTTCTGCCTGGATAAGCACCTGGGTTTTCTGTTAATCCTTAGTCTCAATTCCTTATGCTCACACTAACAGTAACATTTCAACTTTCTAATACTCCTAAATACAGTTATCTCAAAGAAATTACAAAGATCACAACTGAACTCAAAGGAAGGGGAGGACTTCAGGTCACTGACGACAGAATATGATTTAATACAGGTCTTAGGAATATATTATTTCTGGCAACCACAGGAATTATAATTTAGGAAATAATATGAGTAAAGATTCGGAAGGAAGGTTGGGCATTCCTACTTCCGTAGTGATACTGCCTCGGAAACCCAAGGAGGGGTCGCTATGAGTCGGGGCCGACTCGATGGCAAACAACAACAACAACAACATGAGTAAAGATCACAGAATTTTAAGACTTGTGCCTAGGCTGGTCCTCTTATCACCTTGCAATAGCTTCCCCTATAGGATGGTCCTTGAATCAACAGTGGCAAAGTTCACAAAATTTTAATTAACACATATGCCACCTAATCTTGGCTAGACCTAAGTACTGAATGCATATCCCTGAAAACGTAACAACTTTACTCTTAAACAATAACTCCTATGTCTGATATATTGGCAGCGTGAACATAGTCTAGATACACTTCATGAAGATAAGCCTGGCTTAAATAACGAGGCGCTTTAGGCCTTCTGATAATAGAAAAGGGGCAGCTAAACTGATACAGTCTTGTTTTCTAAAACCGTAGCCAACTCAATTAAGGCACTAGTCGGTATCAACTCTCAACTAAAACGCATTCAGACTTGACGTAAAACCCTTCACAAATCTCTCACTGGGTGAGTGTCTCGCACCCACCAGGTGCATCTACTCTATCTCAAGGCTCCTGCCTCAGCCCCTCGCCCCAGTCTCCCAGCACCACACCTGGGGGTGCCTCCAATTCCACGCCCACATCCCTCCCCCTGGACCACTTAGTGTCCCTAGAGCCCTGTGTTTAGCCCACAACACCTTCAGACCCTCACTCTGCCCTCCACCAGGCCAAATCGAACTGGCCTCTTCCCTCCCCTCCCGCCCTCACCCCTCGCCACTCACCCGCGGTAGTAGGCTTTCACCCGGACTTGATGAGAATGGTCCCCGCTGCCGCCGCTTCCTGCGACCGGGTGGGACATGGTGCTGCTGTCCCTCTGGGTCGGCATCTCACTCTCAGCCTCAACGCCCGGGGCCGAAGGGGCGGGGGGTGGGGGCGCGGGACGCCGCAGAGGTATCCGCCGCCCGAGCCTCTAAGACAGGCGCGGCTGCTCGCCTGCCTACCTGCTCTCCTCGCCCGCAGCGCCGACCAAAGGGTCGCCTAACCTCAGCAGCCAGAACCGAACAGCCCCTCCCACCACCGGCGACCGCCGCAGACTCTACGGCAGCCGCGGCCCAGTGAACCTCCCCGCCTCAGTCCCTCCCACCTCGCTTGCTCCAAAGGCCCACATTCCGGGGTAGGGCGGGCGCAACCATCGATCTAACTCAAAGAGCCTCAATTGCGGGCCGAACCATTCTTACGGAGGACAGAGAAAGGGGAGAGATACAAAGTGGGGCGGTGATCACCACACTAAATATGCTGCAAAGGGGGACTTCCCTGGGAGAGGTAATCAAAATAACACTAAAGATAAAGTACTATAGCTTTCTAAAAAGCCTTTTCCTACAAAGAAAATGGTAGATAAAACTGCGGTATTACATCCCACTGTCCCAATTTGGTCGCGTCCGCAGTCGGCCGCTTGGGATTCCGGGTATATTTGAGTGTGGGATTCTGGGATTTGGAGTTCTCGTGGGATTCTGGGACTTGCGATTCGTAACGTATGGAACACCGACCTTTGCTAGTCGGACTCCAGGGTGCTGTCTGGGAGCTGTCAGCATGGAAATTTTGAATTCAGCTTGAGCATCTATCCTATGGCCCTGGAAATGTTTGGTCTTTGTCACGATCCATACTTTGTTTTCAGATGAATTCCCCCTTCCAATTGCATAAAACTAGAAAACCAAATTCACAGCCATCCAGTCAATTTCGACTGTTAGTGACTCTCATTGGGTTTCCCAGGCGGTAAATCTTTACAGAAGTAGATTGCCCCATCTTCCTTCCATGGAGGGGCTCGTGGGTATGAACCGCCAACCTTCTGGTTAGCAGTCAAATGACTTAGGCACTGTGCCACCAGAGCTTTTCAATTGCATGGATGATCAGAATTATGTGGTATCTTTCTTGGGGACAACTCATTATAGCCCCTTTCATGGAAAGCATTTAATATTCATAGGAAACATAATGATGGATGTAATAAAGGAGGAAATGCAACTAGAAGCCATAATGGAAAACAGACTTTTCTTCCTTTGCAGCCCCCATATCTAGTCCCTCGTTATTCGGCCATTGCATGGGACCGGTGCACAACAAATACTTATGCAATTAATCAACCCATTAATAACTGACTCTGATTAGCATCTGTTCTGTTTACACCAGTTAACCAAGAATTAGGAAGGATCCATTCTTGCATCCTCATCTCTCAGTTTCGTCTGGCCTTGCTCTGTCGTATAACTTCTACTAAAATTACAGGTAGCATGGATCTAGCCCCTACATCACTCGTGGTACATACAAGTTAAGAGTTTGAATAACCAAAGAAATTATTTTCTTTATTATGACAAAATAAGTTTCAGAAATTGCCTCCTCAGAATGATGTGTGACACTTAGCCTAATATGACACCTTTCAACTGCTAAAGACTTGGATTATTTGCTCTAATAAAACTTTCCTTCAAAACACTTTGTGTCGGGTTGTTGGCAATTGGAAACCTGCATCTGCATGTTACATATGAATTGGTTAGTTATGGAATGTAAGTTGTTATTTCTAAACTGAAATGGCAAAATTTAAATTGGATTCATAGAAAATTTAGTATGCTCGCAGAAAGTTTGAAAGATTATATATAATGCTCTAGAAAAATAAACTTATGTTATATGGAAAGAAGAATTTATAAAGCAAGGAAAGGTAAGTCACGAAAACCTTTAATTTGGATACTTATTCCTTCTCAAAAACTCTCTGCCATCAAGGCAATTACAACTCATAGTGACCCCCTTGGGTTTCCTAGGCGATATCTGTATGGAAATAGATTGCCCAATCTTCCTTCTGAAAAGTGGCTGGTGGGTTTGAACTACTAGCCTTCTGGTTAGCAGTCAAATGCCTTGTTGTTGTTGTTGTTATGTGCTGTGGAGTCGGACCTGACTCATGGTGACCCCTCCTTAGGTTTCTGAAGTAGTATCACTATGGATGTAGATTTCCCAATCTTCCTTCCAAGGAGTGGCTGGTGGGTTTGAACCACCAGCCTTCTGGTTAGCAGTCAAATGCCTTAGGCATTACACTACCAGAGCTCCTCAAATATCTTAGGCACTTATTTTTTGGCAGCTTGAAAAACCTTCATCAGTGGCCTCATGCCTTGCTTTAAAGGTGAACATTGTTTACAGAAAAGGCTTGTTGACTACTTTGTCATCTACAAGAACCTGTAAATATAGATAATTTGCATCAATCCCACTACGTGAATAAATTTTCCTTTTCTGAATGGTGAAACCTATTAATTATAATTATCAGAGAAAGCATGAAATTAATTTTTAAAAGCATTTTAATATAACACTACTCATCTGTCAGTTTGTAATACTGTAGTGGCTAGTGTAATGCTGTAAATGCTGGAAGCTATGCCACTAATATTTCAAATATCAGCAGAGTCACCATGGTGACAGGTTTCAGCAGAGCTTACAGACTAGAAAGGAGGACATGAAGATCTACTTCTGAAAAAAACTGGCCAGTGAAAATCTTATGAATAGCAGCAGAATATTGTCTGATAGAATGCCAGAAGATGAGCCCCTCACGTTGAAAGGCACTCAAGATACAACTGAGGAAGAGCTGCCTCCTCAAAGTAGAATCAACCTTCATGACATAGATTGAGTAAAGGTTTTAGGACCTACATTTGTTGATGTGGCATAATGAAAATGGAAAGAAATAGCTGCAAACATCCATTAATAATCATAATGTCAAATGCATGAAGTATGAATCTAGCAAAATTGAAAGTTGTCAGAAATGAAATGGAATGCACAAAGATCGATAGCCTGGGCATTACTGAACTGAAATGGACAGGAATTGGTCATTTTGAAAGAGATAAGTATATGGTTTACTGGGCCAGGGATGACAAATTGAAGAGCAATGACATTATGTTTATGGTCAAAAGAACATTTCAAGATGTGTCCTGAAATACAACACCATGGTGGTAGGATAATATCCATAGGCCTACAAGGAAGACCAGTTAATACTATTATTCAAATTTACATGCCAACCACTAATGCCAAAGACCAAATTGAAGATTTTTACCAACTACTGCAGTCTGAAATTGATCATACATACCATCAAGATGCACTGATAATTACTGATGATTGGAATGTCAAAGTTGGAAACAAAGAAGGATCAGTACTTGGAAAATAAGGTGCTGGTGATAGAAATGACACCAGAGATTGCATGATAGAATTTTGCAAGACCAATGACCTATTCATTGGAAATATCTTTTTCAACAAGGAATCAAGTCAACTGCGTCTGTGGAAAGAGATGATGTTGTTGTTGTTAGGTGCCCATGAGTCAATTCCAACTCATAGCAATCCTTTGTACGACAGAACAAAACACCGCTCGGTCCTGAATCACCCTTACAATTGTTGCTATGTTTGAGCCCATTGTTGCAACTACTGTCAATCTATCACATTGAGAGTTGACCACTTTTTCGTTGACCCTCTACCAAGTATGATGTCCTTCTCCAGGGACTGCTCCCTCCTGATAACATGTCTAAAGTAAGTGAAACAAAATCTCACCATCCTCGATTCTAAGGAGCATTCTGGCTACGTCTTCTAAGACAGATTTGTTCATTCTTTTGGCAGTCCACAGTATATTCAATATCCTTCACCAACTCTATAATGCACAGGCATCAATTCTTGTGTCTTCCTTATTTATTGTCTAGCTTTTGCAGACATATGAGGTGATTGAAAATACCATGGCTTGGGTCAGGCACACCTTAGTCTTCAAAGTGACATCTTTGCTCTTAAACATTTTAAAAAGGTCTTTTGCTGTACATTTGCCCAATGCAATATGTCATTGATTTCTTGATTGCTGCTTCCATGAACACTGAGTGTGGATCCAAGAAAAATGAAACCCTTGACAACTTCAATCTTTTCTCCACTTATCATAAGTTTACTTCTTGTGAGGATTTTTGTTTTCTTTATGGTGAGGTGTAATCCATAATGATGACTGTAGTTTTTTATCTTCTTTATTAAGTGCTTCAAATCTTCTTCATTTTCAGCAAGCAAGGTTGTGTCATCTGCACACCACAGGTTGTTGAGTCTTCCTCCAAGCCTGATGCCATGATCTTCTTCATATAGTCAAGCTTCTTGGGTTATTGCTCAGCATAAATACTGAATAAGTATAGTGAAAAGATTCAACCCTGACATACACATTTCCTATTTTTAAATCATGCAGTATCCCCTTGTTTTGTTAGAACAATTGCCTCTTGGTCTATTTACAGGTTCCTCATAAACACAATTCAGTGTTTTGGAATTCCCATTCTTCATCAGTTCTTGATCATATGCTACCTCTTGAAATGGTTGCACATCGACCAATTCTTTTTGGCACAGTGACTGTATATTCCTATCATGTTCTTTGGATGCTTCCTGCATCATTCAATATTTTGTCTACAGAATCCTCCAACATTGCAACTTGAGGCCTGAATTTTTTCTTGTCTTTCAGCTTGAGAAATGCCAACCGTCTTCTTCCTTTTTGGATTTCTTACTCCAAATCTTTGCATATTTCATTATAGTACTTTAATTTGTCTTTTCAAGGCACCCTTTGATATCTTCTGTTCAGCTCATTAACCTCATCATTTCTTCTATTCTCTTTGGCTACTCTATGTTAAAGAGCAATTTTCAGAGTCTTTTCTGATATCCATTTTGTTCTTTTTCTTTTCTGTCTTTTTAATGACCTTTTACTTTCTTCATGTATGATGTCCTTTATGTCGTCCCATGACTTGTCTGGTCTTTGATCATTAGTGTCCAATACATCAAATCTTTTTGACATATTTTTAAAATTCAGGTGGGACATACTCAAGGTCATACTTTGGCCCTCATGAACTTATTTTTAATTTTCTT